CTTTTGATCAATTTAATGTGTCCTTGCTGAATAAAAATATAAATTTCTTAAAAAAAAAAACATCTTAATGAAAAAAAGCCTTTTAAAATCTTACCTGTTTATTATCTTGAATCCATAAGAGTGTACAAAACAATCATTCTGGCAACAAGACGAACACATTAGCAATATTAACGCAGGCCTACTATTAATAATGAAGCCCTCGTGTTTCATTTTTCAGTAAATACAGTCAATAACTGAGGCACAAAATAATATCAGTTGCATTTGAATGAAACGAGCAAGAGCACGGCACTGTAACATGTGAGCCGTGAAAGAAGCGGTCTCACATACCTGGATGAGCGGTAAGATATTCGGCATGGCTAAGGACGATGGTTGTTATCGGGAAATAACACAGATGGGAATGTCGCGACTGACCAATCAGAATCAAGTATTCCAGATAGCCGTGTAATAAATCAGAACAAATAGACACACTTACACTTAACTGTGTAATTATGTTTATTTGTTCCAATATGAAAAATATGTCATGAAATTTATCAGAAAATTGTGATGAACTAGTCAAAGTGATCTGCGTAGAATTGTTGACTTGTAACTCTGAGTTATTTTAAACTGAATTCAAACTCCTGTGTGTCCTGACCACACTTATGATCTTCAAGGGAGTCAGTCCCTGCTGTGTGAATCCAGTACTAACTTTTCATACAGCATGAGGAACTCTCTCAGATGAACTTTTCCGTTCCAGTCACCAGACTGTGTTCTGACACTTTAATTTATTTCTGTATATTACAGCTATTGGCAAGTCTAGCATCAGACTGCAGCACCTGGAGCGAGTCCATCCCGTCTGTTTGTGTCATTTACTGATGTTTCTTAATGCTCCATTTACACTGGCGCTCTGCCTGAGCCAAGCCATTACTGAACAGAGCTGAGCGTTTGCCTTTATAATCTGACCATCCCAGCCTCTTCATCTGGGCACCGCCAAACACGCTTCACCTCCGCTCACTCTTCATCTGTTCATCCATCCATCCGGAGAAATCCTGTGAAACGCTTCTTGATCATCTGTAGTCCTGCATTAAAGCTGAATTAAGGTTATTTTTTTCTATTTCTATTCTGTTTGTTTTCATGCATTGAAAGACTTGAATCTTTATTAGGATGGGAAAACGGATCCAGACTGAAACAATTTGACAGCCGAGGACAAAAAGGCGCAAGTTAGTTGTCAGGATAACATCAAAGTGTAAAGCAGTATTTCATTTACACAGAACAAAGGCGACTTCAGATGTGTGTCTGATACTGAGAGATCAGATCACAGCGGCTAACTGTACTGCAGCTTTCATTTGCAGCATTGCACTCAGAGAAACACTTTAACCTTATATTGTGTGTTTTGACGCAGAAACAGAAAATCAATGGCTGTTGTTGTTTTCTTGGAACTACTGTTTTGGTTGTCAGATCCCTCATGCAAACGTCCACCTACTTTGGAAAGGCTGAATCACAGGTCTGTTGCATGTTTTATTGCAAAAGGCTCACTCCCCTTCTCTGCTGCTGGAAAACATTAAAATCCCTCGATGAGATTGAAATCAATCATTAGGGGGCCTCAGGATTCCCACCTGCCATCTTCACAGGAAGAAGAGGCCGTTCTGGCGGTTTGTGTAGAGCGCAGCTCTAAAGTCTGATTTACTGTCCATGTGGACTCCCGGCTTTATACAACAGCAGTGTTTCCCCACTCAATGACTGGACTTGGGAAAATCAACCACCAACTCCTTTGTCCAGTAGACTCTAAAAAAAAGTCTGTAAAATAGGGCCTAATGTACCGTGTTAATATGAAGGAATTTTCATTATTAATTTTTCACAGGCGTTTTACCTGTATTCTGAATTATGCATTGCACTGTGTTGTGGTTTAGGGATAAAGGAAATGTCTGTAAACTTCACAGAAAAGGTACCGGTAATTTTCTGCCATTTTCCTATGGATTTTTTCTTACAGTGTAGATGTTCAACTGAAGGGTCCTGTACTCTGTCTCGTGTGTAAAGCAGACTTTCTGCAGAAGATCTTTCAGCCAGACTTCTGAGGGTCTGTTTCTTGAGATTCTAGATCTAGTTCTCCTGCACCAGCTTACAAGACTGTTGTAATCATTATATATGATCTTAGTCCACTCCAGACTTCATTGTTCCTTGATCAGTTTATCTCACCTCTCAAAGTTAAACTAAGAGCAGATATATAAAGGTGTCTTCTTACTAAAACTTCATGGTGGCTTTTTGTTGAAGCACATTGTCCTTTTGGGACCTGCATTGTTCACAAAAGCTCATCTGTCAGTCATCTGAGGTACATGTCCTGGTCCGTCTCCAAGGAGCTATTTTGCAAAAAGTCCCTTAGCAACCATTTCCTCTCTGTCCTGGTTGTGACAGCATCCACTGAACGATTGGTTTAAATGCAGGAATATGGCACACCTGAACAGGCCAGACATCACAAAGCCAACTGTTTTCTGTGTTCATCTGGAAGAATTGCTTCTGGAGCATGTAGACGCCTGTTTTCATTTCCATTCATTGAGGATATGTCACCACAAGCTTGTGTGAGATTCCATTCAAACTAAATGGGGGCCTTTCAGATTCAGTGCCGTCTTGCTTAATTGGTTGTCTTATTCAGGCTGAACAGTCTGTAGAAAGCTAATGGTGCCACAGACCTTTGTCAGGGTAGTGCCAGATTTAGTTTCTTACAGGAATAAAAATGAGGAAGTGAGGGACTGATGTACGGTGTGTTAAATGGATTGTACTGTTGTTTAACAACATAACAATAATTCAGCTGACGATATGCCTTTTCTGTAAGTCTCTTCCCCACAGCCTCGTTTTCATCCATGTTAAATTCAATTGAAACTCCAATCATAGACTTAGGTCTATAAACGGTGCCATAAAGACTTATCAATCACGACATGTGAGAAACTGTGAAGCCGTGCAACTGACTAAAAGGGGCCTAACAGGCCATTTACAAACTGATGCCATTAAATACATTTATGTGGTTAAAATCTAAAGCGTTTGGTAATGAAATGCATTGCTTGACATGTTAAATTTGCTAAAGTCAGCATAACAGTCTACATATAGCTAAACAACTATATGAATACTCTCACAAAAGGTACTAATGGCTACATTTGCACAATCAGTACTCGATATCTGGGCTCCCGAACATGGCCTCAAGTTTGTTCAAGATTGCCCCATCAGTTGTTAAAAAAAACTGCTAGTTGACCACTACCGTTCTTGCTTTCATGAACAATTTAAAATCCATTCACTCCAGTTGGGAGTATCAGCTCTCAGTGAGGCACATGAGATTATGCTGTTTGGATTACCCAACAGCCAATGGTCAGTGCAACTATATTACAGCACTCATTTCTATATTATTAAAGTGCAATCCAAGCTATTTTTGTAGGAACTAGTTAGCTAACACATTTGTAAGTCTCTCTGGTTAAAAAGTATTTTCTAAATGAATAAATGTCAAGGAAAATATTTAGCTTCAGTGTAACTTGTCTTCCTCTATTTGAAGTTCTCCCTTGTGGCTTTTACCCTTGTTCTTCAGAGTAACGTACTTGTTTTAATGAGTTTATGGCCATCTAGCAAAGGTTTTATGCTCACCATGTGTATTAAAGTTGTCATTGCACACAAATATCTGACTGCTCAATGCTGCAGTTCACCGGAATTGAATATCTGCTGTTTGTCAGCTGAATGGAGATCCTCGTCACTGAGCTAATTGATCCGTGAGTGTAATTATCTCTGTGCTCGACATCAGGATGAGTTTCTTGTTAAATCATTAATGCTGCAGGTTCTCTGTACTTCCCACAAACTGTCTATGTGTGATCTTCTGCATCTCAATAATTACCCTAGCCCGGGTCAAAGTTCATCCAGCGCAGTTACACTAGAAACCACTCTTTGTAATCGGCTGGAACTCTGAAAGCATCCTGAGAACAGTAGTTATCAGAAACACAGACTGGCATCCAGAAATATCTAAATATCACGACCCCAACCTACACACCCGAGGAATCGCACTGACCTCCATGAAGCCATTTCTCAGAAAATCTCAAATCTAATCAATACATTTTGTGAGGCAAATTTTGTAAGATAAGTACTGTAAGAAATGGTTCTTTTAAATGACCGAAGGGGGAAAAAGAGCACATTTCTAGAACACATGATGCAAAAGTTATGAGATAAAATTTTTCATAAGTGCAATTTAGAATTTTTGACCACATGGAATGCCACTGACTAATAATATAATAAGTGCACAAGCATCTATTCCAAGTTAACATCAAATAATCACATTAGACAAAGTATAGTAATATTTTGGTTATACAGTCCATGACTATGTGGTAGTACTGCCGTAGCAGTGAGTGCAGTGATCATGGCTGTATAAGCAGAGGCAGGCCAGTGTTAATGTTGGTAACACTTTATTTCGATAGTCCACTTTAGGCATTCTACTAACAGTAAGTAACTGTGCAACTACATGTCAACTAGCAGTCATTAGAGTATTAGTAGACTGTCTGCTTAATATCTACTAACACTTTATTTTGATGGGTCAACAACATAAAACATACTGACTATCAGAAACTTTGCAAGTATATGTCAACTTATTCTACTAACCCTAAACCTAACCTAAGTCTACTCTGAGAGTTAGTAGACATGTAGTTGCAAATTAATTAGAATTAGTTGACATGTAGTTACAAAGTAACTTATAGTTAGTAGAATGTCTAAAGTGGACTATCAAAATAAAGTGTAACCGTTTTGTTTATTATTAAAGAAACCTGCATTGAGAATCAGGCTCGTTCAAGTCCTTGGTAATGCACACGCATGTGCATAATGTCAGCATCTCACATGATAGAATCCTCAGTAATCCTCAGCAAACATCGACACTGGTTGAACTGGCTCATTTGGTTCTTTTTGAGTTGAATGTATATTTTGGCTGTGCATCTTGCATCATCACTAAAAGAACTAAAGTTTGATCAGTTCGATTTGTGAACCGGCTCAAAAATCGGACATCACTAAGGGTTACTGCCAGATCTTGTGTGGTGTTGTGTTGTACCTGCGGTGGCCTGACTCTCATCTGGAACACATGCAGAGTGCAGTGAACCTCTCAGGTCACATGAGCAGGGTCTGCAGGGCCAGTGTTCATCTGGACGCGCCTGAAGAAATATTCACATGATGATGCTCAATTACTCTGAGAACACAAACCATCTGATTGTCCCTTCTACCTTTTAGTAATGTTGACCCATGGCAACAATTCATGTCTAATGTAAGGTCGGATTTAAAGTCAGAAATAGGACATTTTGCCTTTCTGAGTAGAATGCAAGGCAGCGTAAGTCCTTGAAAGTCCTGTGTTTTTGAATAGTTCAACACACAACAGTACAGAAATTACCTCCAGATCTCAACCTCATAGAAAATCTTTGGAGGGAGTTGAAAATCCGGGTTCGCCAGCGACAGCCCCAAAACATTACTGCTCTAGAGGAGATCTGGATGGAGGAATGGGCCAAAATACCAGCAACCGTGTGTGAAAACCTTGTGAAGACTTACAGCAAACGTTTGACCTCTGTCATTGCCACCAAAGGGTATATAACAAAGTATTGAGATGAAATTTTGTTATTGACCAAATACTTATTTTCCACCATAATTTGCAAATAAATTCTTTAAAAATCCTACAATGTGATTTTCTGGATTTTTTTTCTCATTTTGTCTCTCATAGTTGAGGTATACCTATGATGAAAATTACAGGCCTCTCTCATCTTTTTAAGTGGGAGAACTTGCACAATTGGTGGCTGACTAAATACTTTTTTTCCCCACTGTATATAGGAACAGAATAAAGAAACTCACCTCAGTTGGTCTGTAGTAGCCGTCTACACATGATTGACAGTTAATTCCTCCTGTGTTTTCAGAGCAACTAAGGCAGACTCCGCCCCCCACATATTCACCATGAATATTTAAACTCAGCTTAGCATCGGCCACAGTCTGGTTGTAATAGCATTCCTCTGATTTGCCGTGACAGTTACACTCTGGAAAATAAAGACAATTATACAACTATAAGAGAAGCAGTGCAGCTTTGCAAGCAGCACCTGACACATGACACTTAAAATATAGCAATACCACATGGGGAACAGTTGATCTGAATACTGGCAGAGCTATGATTCAGCCACAGGTAAATGACAGGTGTGCTGATACTCCGACCAACAGCACCATGAATTCAGGATCTTACATTGCTAGTCCAAAAGAGATGTCTAAATCTCTGTTACTAATTAAAAAATGTCCGGTTAAAGCTAGCAACTGCAGCTTGGGCTGCTTCTGAGGATGGAGTAACAAGAAGGCATAACAAGAAGTAACCATGGAACAGCATGAAGGTGGCCAGACTGAGTGATATTGCTTTAATACAGTAGTTAAATAATCAAGTTAATATTACATAACTTAAATTTTAGACTCAATATTGCCGGTTACTTTGTGTGCTTTTGCTTCACCAACAAAAATGGTTACACATTAAGACACAGCAATACTGAGCAACAGTATGGGCATTGTGTTCCTGAACGATTCTGTGTTTTTGAACAAACTCATTTAACAAACGATTCAGTGACTCACTCATGAAGACAGTCATCTGGTTAATTCCTGAAAAAGTAATGTTTTTTAACAAATCGGTTGAGTGAATAATTCAATGACTTGTTTATAAAGACACTCAGTGTGTCTGAAATCGCATATTGTCTATTTACACAGACAAGTGAAGTGATTCAAACAGTGGAGAGTCCAGGTGCTGTTGGACTGTTATATCAACTAATCTTGAAATGCTAATCAACCTGTCAGATTGAAGGACCCAAACTAACTGTTGCATAATTCATATTAAGATGTATTAACTTTTACATAGTGTAACTATGATATGAATATAGTCACTCAGACGTCATATAACATGAACTGATGTTCCTAATGTTTATAGACCACACCTAAAATAAGACAAAAATGGTCAATAAAGCAGCATGCTCAGCTCTGTGGTACACTGTTGAGGCCTCTTACTTTCACAGACGTGGCGTGTGAGGAAGGTTCCCGCCATCCAGGGTTTCTGGTTGTAACCAGGGCAACAGCGGTCACAGCTCTCGCCACAAGTGTTGTGTTCACACTCACAGCTGAATTTCTGATGTCGAAACCAAACAGTCAATCAAACCAACTGTGTGTTATTCAGAAATGATTAGAGAATGCCTTCCCAATTAAAACTCAATCTGAGATGGCAAACACAATGCAGAACTGAGGCTTTCTCCGATGTGTATCATAAACGTTGTGTAATAATTGACTAATAGTAGCTGTATTTTGGTGCTGAGCTGATCAGTGGTCTAACAGCACTCGACAATGTCTAAATGACTGAGATGGCCAATCAAATCAAAGAAGGCAGGTGTTACTATTAACGTTTACTGAAGCAGAGCATGAATTTCAACATGAAACTTCCATTTTAACCATCAAAAAGTGAAATGAAAGAGCAAGTAAGCAGCTTAACATTTAATATTTGACTTTTTTAAACTGTTATGATAGAAATGTTAAACAACCGACAGTCATTTACAGAAATGCAAACAGCTCAGGCGTTTTCAGCATATTAGGCACAAGATTAAGAATTAATGTGTACATATTGTGAATGAATTTAGTAAACTTGGTTACACTTTCCTTACAGCCTTTCAGTGCATTCACTCATCCTCAGACCTAAACTAGAACATGGAAAAATGTGACTTTGACAAATGTATTTATAGGCTGAGGTTAGGATAGTCATATTAAAGCCGATTATTAAATAAATAAATAAATAAATAGATCAAAAGCATTTATTTTAGTTCTAGAAACTAGTTTTCTTTATCCATCTCCTTCTTCATTCCTTTCATTTTCTCTTTTTGACAATAAGCCCGCAAGTGTCTGCAACCTCTTTATATTGATATGTTCATGGCTCAAATTTTAAAGGGATAGTTGATTTAAAAGTTAAAATTATGTTACCATTCACTTACTGAAATTGTGTCAAATTGTGTATTGTTATCCAATTTTTGCCCTCTAGACCTCTTTAAATGCACATATTTAAGTATATATACACACACAGTCAAATATATAATTCATATATATTTGTCAAATTATTTTCATAAAGTTATCTGAAAATGTGCTAGACCTTTTGTGGTGCTGTACTCCAAAATATAGCATTATGATCATATAAGACCCAAATGCAACAATTTAATTATCTCTTTTTTTATAACTGCTGTGAGAGCATGCTTCATAAAGGCAAAAAAAGTTATTAATCTCTAATTAACAACTTAGTAATAAAGCTCAAGAAATAAACCTAATTAAACTGAATATGAAATCATTTGAGGATAAAGATTCTTTAGCTTCAGATGACAAACCTTGTTGTATGGGTTGAATGGGCAGGCCTTGGCGTGACCGTAACAGATGCACATGCCTCCAACTGATATATCCTTAATGGAGTAGTAATACTGAAAAACAAAAGCAATACAATCACATTAAACTCAAACTCTACTGTAATACATAAGTTAATTACTGCATCCAATACACTACAAACAAGGACCAGAACTAACTGTTGTCTATTACCTAAGCTTTACCCTCCAAAGTGAGAGATCAAGGTTTAAATATTTACAGAAGCACGTTTGCCGATGGTTTAATTTATTTTTCACTTGGCAAACCTTTTGCAGTATGGACTGAGAGGTTCTGATGAAGCACTAGGAATCTTGAAGTTAAACTCTATGAACACCCATGCTTTTCAGCTACAAATTCACGTAACCCCTCACACGAAGAAAGCAGGAGTTTGTGAAGCACACCCCCCTCCACCCCCCCAAAGCTGCCAAAATATGTTTAAATCAAAATAAGGAATTTATCTAGATGTGAACTGTTACCTTGCTGAAAAATCCAACATTGCTGGTCACCAGCATAAGGTATGTTTTGCACACTGGTACCAGCTTTGGTCACTGGTTGCTGGACCCCATTGTGGGACTCTGGTGTGCTGGTGGAGCAGCATATGTTGCCACTTGGATGCTGGTAGGATCCCAGAAAGACCCCAACAAACGTGTGTGTGTGCAAAATTTGTTGAAGCCCATTGTCACTGTTATGGTGATTAGTGTTCACTATAGATGGGCACTTTGCCCTTGACATTGGTTAAATTATTTCACTTTCAGCCATTGTTACTATTGTCTGCAATAAGTTATGCTCCTGACTGCAATCAAATAATTGTTTTACTATGTGCTTTTTATATTTATTCCTTTTACTAAATATTTTCTTGTTTTCAGTAGCTGTCAGCTGGATTTTGACACATGAAAGTACCCAAATGTATTTCCAATTTTGAACTTGATGCAACATAAGTACAAAATTGTAGTTACATGCTACTGATGTTTATTAGTTTGTGTCTTGAATAGACTGTGCTTCATATTTTACAAGTTTGACTTCTATAACTTATTTAAAATTCCAAATTACTACCAGCTAGACCAGCACTATATCTGCACTAACCAGCATAAAACAGTCTGGACCTTCATGGAATTAATGCTGGCATATGCTGGGTTTTACAGCAGGGTACAGGCACACAAACATTATGCTGCAAAGGTAATAAGCATATGTTCCAATACTACTGTCTTACACACCCTTAAAGGTACTGACTGAGCATCACCGAATAAGCAAACACACTTTTATACTATATTTATACTGCATACAGCATGTTATATGTTGGTGTGTTGAGCTGGTTGTGATGCTTAAATTAATCAATGATTTGACACTGCCACAAAGACACAGTGTTAAACTTTCTGGGCAAATCAACCTATCAAACTCACAACAATACAACTTGATATGAGAATGACACACATCACCTTTAAATTAGCCTCGTAATCATATGCGACCAATGTGGCTTAAACCTCTCAGACTGCAAAATGACTCTTTGATCTAAATACTTTGGGTTCATTTATCCAAATTGCTCAATGCACGTGAGAAATGTAATCCTGCAATTCAGTGCAACTCTTCTTTGATGGAAACAGGTCAATCAGCGAGTTAATGAGTTTGTAGGAGGAAGTGGGCGGGTGGAGGCGTGTGATATGGCGTCTTTGAGGGAAAGAGAGGGTCGATTTGTTAATTACTGTATGATTTTAATTAAAGCCCATCTGTCTGAGGAGGAGAGGCTGGTAATGGGTGAGGCGGCCCGGGCAGCACTAGCTCCATCCATCCACACACACAGATGGCGTATGAATGGTACTGAGCGATGACAAACACATGTGTGGCACATTCTCCCTCTTCCTGCTCTCTCTGGTGTCAAAGCATCACACTAGCACCTTTAGCACATCTAGTGACACATGAGGCACTCACCCGTCTGGTGACAATGGGGTCGATGTCTTGGGGGTCATTGAGGGCGAGGGTCATGAGGTCAGCATTTAGGGTGCGGATCCTCTGGAACCGCAGGCGGATATAGCGTGCCGAGGTGAAGTTGAGTAACATGGGCGATGGATCATCCGCACTGGGACGGCCGTTTATTAGTGAGGTGTGAATCTGAAAGAAAATGAAATGTGATGCACTGCAACAAGTGACTGTCTTTATGAGTGAGTCGTTGAATCGTTTACCAAATCATGCTTGATCCTGTTTCTTTTTTTTTTTTTGGGAAGATAAAAATAGACAACTTTCTTGTGTTATACAGCTTTAATACACGTACGCATACATTTCAAAATGTAGTGCATTATTTGAACATTTGAAAGTAATCTTGCTAACCAAAAACAACAACCAGAAATAATACAATTAACCATCTGGATTTCCTCAGACTTGTGATCCTCGGAGGCCAAAAACACAACAAAGAAAATAAGCAGAAATGTTTTAGTTTAAATGAAATTAATGTACTATATTTTGTTTCAATAATATTTATTCGTTAACATTATTATTATTCAAAAAATTTTTTTGATGTTATTATTATATAGCACTAGACAATATTCACATTAAAATTATGCTGCATTTTTGTCTATATAAACTAAAACAGTTATACAATAATACGGTTAATTTAAAAATACAGCAAAGATATTTAAAATCCATTGCATGGAAGGCAGATCTAGTGGTAGAAATAAAGAAAGTATTACCATGGTTTAACCACTAGATACCTGTATACAAGGCTATGTATTGCCTAGATGCTTATAAGAGTATTTTCAGACATAATTGCATTTTGCATTTGGATATATATATATATATATATAACCTTATCAAATACTACTTTGTCGATTTGTAGCCACAATGTTCAATGTTTCCCATTTATTTTCATGAAGATCACAAATGTTACATTTTTTTAAATTATGTCCATGATTTTTTTTTCTGTGTTTGCATATAGCAAGTGCCAAAAAGTTACCAAGTTTTGTACCATTCCGATAAAATAAAAACGTTTAAGAATTTAAACCATAAACATTTTCTGTCTAAAATGATCAAAGACCACCAGAGGGTTAATTGAATATGAACTAATAAACAAATAAGCAAAATTCAATCACAGTTTTAATGCAAATGCAGCTCAAGAAGGTGATGTGTGTGTGTGTGTGTGTGTGTGTGTGTGTGCAGTACTAGGCTGTTTTTCTTGGGTTAATGATGTGTGCTAATTAGTGCTGTGTGAGTTTATGCTGTCTGTTTTTAAAGGAGATAGAGCGACATTTGAGTCCAGGCTTGATCTCCCCACCCACCTCCCTCATTAGTACGGTGCGCACACACACAAAATACTGTTCAGTATAATCCAGTGATCTGACAGCTGTAAATTTAACTTTCAGAAAACACACACACATTAAACCCACTGCTGTAAAAGAACTTCCATCTCATTTATCATCCCTGCGTGGGTGTTCATGTCAGCCAGCATGCCAGACACACTGTGTGGGAAAGTTAGCAGCTGTATTAATGCAAACATGCATAATTCTACATGTTTTTGGTTTGTATGTAAATGTGATCTGATATCTGTGAAAATGAGAGTGTATTGAGTGGGCTGTGAATGAGAGGGACTGGAGTTTGTCTAGCATGTGTGTGTGTGTGTGTGTGTGTGTGTGTGTGTGTGTGTGTGTGCGTACGTGTGTGTGTGTGTGTGTGTGTGAGATTGTGAATCTATTTTTCTCTTGTCTGTTTTCTATTTAAGAATTATAGTCAACAAGGTACCTTAAGATGCAGTCAACCAAGACTCTGTGAGGTTCTCTGTGTTCATTCCTCAGCCTTCTGTGCCACATATTCAAATGCTTTTACAGGGACAGTTCACCCAGAAATGGCCCTCATGTTGTTCTAAACTCATATGTGTACATTGTTGCAAAATAATTTGAATACATTTCTGAACCTTTCGTGTCCATGTATTTATATGATATACAGTCATGTAATAACTGGAATAATGCATGGTCAGATGTGAGGTTAGCCAATCATACAGGAGGTCAGAGAGTGGGTAAAATGGCCATCAGAATTTAAATTATGATACTTTGTTTAACATTTTAAATGAATTGATAAAATAGTACAGGTTATAATTTCTTCAAAATATGCCATTCATGTCATAATCATCTCAAAATGGCATTAAACGTTTCATTTTGCTACATAATTTTGTTGCTCTGTGGGTGAAGGTGTTTCTCACCTCTCCGTTCTCCAGAGGATGGATTTTAGAGTAGAAGGAAGTACAGATGACTTCCTCGTCATGCATGTAGGACGGCGGGCCTGTTCTGGGAACGACGTTGAAGCGTGTGATGCACTCTGTGGCTGTAATCGCGTAATACTGCCACGGCATGAATGTTTCACCGTCCAGAGAACGCTCTAGAATCCAGTTTCCGGGCCGAGGGGAGTTTGCAGCTTTCAGGATCACATAAGCGATCTGGAAGACCTGTGTGAGAGGAGAACATGGCACAGTACATTAATATTCTCACAAATAAATACTTCAATTCATATACTGCATACACTTTTCTCCTGACGGAATCTGTAAAATTTTGAATAAGAGCGATAAAATTTTTAAAAAGTTCAAAAATTTTAAGTCAATGTTTTTTTTATTTATTTTTGAATGAATTATTTTTTAATCCAGATTTTTTTTCACATTAAATTGATCAGAAGTGACAGTAAAGACATTTATAATGTTACAAAAGATTTATATTAAAAAAATGCTGTTCTTTTGAACTTTCTGTTCGTTTGTGAATCCTGAAAAATAAAATGTTCCACGATTTCCAAAAATTCAGCAGCATTATTAACATTGATAATAATCAGAAATGTTTCTTGATCAGCAAATTGGCATATTAGAATGATTCCCCTTCTAGGGAACTCAACGTTGCGTCCTGTTGGGTACTTTAGGGAACGCTGTCTGCGTGACCGGTACCTGCGTAAAACAACTCCAATCCTATTGGTCCATGTGGCCCGTGACGTCATAGGCGGGTACCCAAACGTATAAAAGGGGCACCTGCTGAATACGTCACCAACTTTTGTTGTCTTTGGAGCCGTCTGTCTGTTGAATGTGTGTGAAACATCATCCTGGTGAGTCGAGCAGTGCTTTGAGGAATATGTACCTCCATGTTGGGATTCTAACACTTGAGGACATATTCTAACCTTTTCGTCTTTGTCTCGGCGACCACACACTCTTTGTGATGAATCACTGTAATGCGCTCGGCTCACGTTTGTTCCTATTCCCGAGGGATGCAGGGCAAAGCGTTCGTGTCTCGGGCCGTTGCCGCGGCTCGGTTTATCTCAGCTCACGGTGATTGCTTTGATCTGTGGTGTCCGTATACCCTCAACTATCGGGTTGCCTGATGCCATGGATATTGCTCGCGTTGCTATAACGATGAAGTGTGAGCACCGAGTCGTTTTTAGCTCAGGGCGTGTGAGATCGCGGGCGGAGCTATATTCAACTCAGCCGTGTCTCTCTAATATGCATGTTATTGTGTGTGGAGAGCCTCGCTGGGCAGGGTTATACTGAATGCTCTGTGAAATGAAGCTGTAATCTTTCTCTCCCAGGGTGCTTCAGTAGTCTAGAGTGGTTACGGGGCATGTTCCTTCCTGTGTTTAGCCAGGTGATAAGTGAACAGTCTCTGCTCAGAGTGTAGCCATATGCGGATGATTATGCTCCAGTTCAGGCTGTTTTGCTTTGGAATATAGCAGTCTGAGGACAGCTATGTTCTAGCCAGGTGTTTATAACTGGGTTTAGTTCCCCTTGGGTACAAACTGTCTCAGGTAAGTGCTGAAGCCTTGTTTGGAATCTGCTGTCTGAGGATAGCTGTGTTCCAGCTTGGAGACTGCTCCCCCTTGTGGGATCTTTAAGTAGTGGTCTCCTTGAGCCCTTGCCTACACGGCGCTCTCTCCCCTGTTCGGGTTTTAGGTAGATGGCCCACTTCATGGCCTGGGCGAACTTCAGCCTTATCTGAGGGAAATGCTTTTTGAGGATAGCTGTGTCCAGCTACTTAGTGTTATGGCCGTTGCTTGCATCAGGCTTTAATCTGGACTATGGTTTTATGTGTTCGCTCCTTAGCGAATCATTACTATGGTCTGGATCTTCCTATTGTGAGCCTCTGGTCAATATATTGGTGAACGAAAAGCTAGCCTACTGTGGGACTGACACGGTTTGGGGACCTCCTTAGTATTGCCACCTAAGGGTGGTTATATTTCAGCCATTGCCATGGTAGTTGTAGTAGTCCCCTTTCCTAAAGCCTAGCTATTTGAGGATAGCCATGTGCTAGCTTGGTAATTGCTCCCCTGCCTAGGGTTTTTAAGTAGCGGTCTCCTTGAGCCCTTACCTAGATAGTGCTGTCTCCCCTCTCTGGGTCGTAAGTAGACAGCCCACTCTCAGTGGTCTAGGTAGTTTCAGTCTGTTCCACCTCTGGTAGCCCTTCCTACACACATAGCTGAGCTCGCTCAGATAGCTCTATCTCCTAGATTGCCCCCTGCTTGGGTTGTAAATAGATAGCCCACTCTTGTGGTCTGGGCAGCCTCATAGGATGGCTTACCGGGGTTTTTCAGGCCAGCTGTGTGGGACCAACTGCTGATAGCTCGTTGATTGCTCCCCTTTTTAGGATTTTAAGTAGTGGTTTCCTTGAGCCCTACCTAGACAGTGCTGTCTCCCCTGCTAGAGTTGTAAGTAGACAGCCCACTCTTTGTGGTCTGGGTAGTCTCAGTCGGTCCCCTTCTGGTAGCCCTCCTAGGTGCACGGCTATCTGAGGATATCTATGTGCTAGCTTAGGTACTCCTCCCCCTTCTTGGGGTTTTAAGTAGCGGTCTCCCTGAGCCCTTACCTAGACAGTGCTATCTCCCCTGCTAGGGTTGTAAGTAGATAGCCCACTCTTGTGGCATCATAGGATGGCTTACCAGGGTTTCTTCAGGCTAGCTGTGTGGGACCAGCTGCTGATAGCTCTGTGATTGCTCCCCTTCTTAGGTTTTTAAGTAGTGGTCCCCTTGAACCCTACCTAGACAGTGCTGTCTCCCCTGCTAGGGTTGCAAGTAGACAGCCCACTTTTTGTGGTCTGGGTAGTCTCAGTCAGTCCCCTCCTGTTCTGCTATTCCTAAAATCTATGTTTATGGTAAGCGTACACACTAGGCTCGGTGATTGCTCCCCTTCTTAGGGTTTTAAGTAGTGGTCTCCTTGAGCCCTACCTAGACAGCGCTGTCTCCCCTGCTAGGGTTGCAAGTAGACAGCCCACTCTTGGTGGTCTGGGTAGTCTCAGTCAGTCCCCTCCTGTTCTACTATTCCTAAAATCCAAGTTTATGGTAAGTGTACACGCTAGCTTCTGTGTGCTTTCTAAAATCCACATTGTGGTAAGTGTGCACACTAGGCACCCTGCACACTTTGCTAAAATCCTGTATGGTATGGGTTACACGCTCGACTTTGTTCCCATTCTCTGAGTTGGTTCTGGCCCCGGTTCTCCTTGCGCCCCACTACATTTATGTATCTCTAGCGATACTTCTGGACAGGGCTTCCTCTCGTTAAGAGAGTCATTCTTAGGTACATGGCTATCTGAGGATATCAATGTGCTAGCTTAGGTACTCCTCCCCCTTCTTGGGGTTTTAAGTAGCGGTCTCCCTGAGCCCTTACCTAGACAGTGCTATCTGCCCTGCTAGGGTCATAAGTAGATAGCCCACTCTCTGTGGTCTGGGCAGCTTCACATGTAGGTTTACTAGGGGTTTTAGTTTTTGGTCCTGTAGCCCCTTCCTAGGGATATAGCTATCTGTGTATAGCTATGTGGCTGCTCCCTTTCCTAGGGTTTTTAAGTAGCGGTCTCCCTGAGCCCTGGCTTAGCCAGTGCTATCTCCCCTGTGGGGTTTAAGTAGATAGTCATTCCCTTGGTCTGGGCAGCTCTTTAGGAAGGTCCTTTTCATAAGACCCTTTGGATATAGCTATCTGATAGCTGTGTACTTGGCTGGGATTGTTGGTGGCAATCTTGAGAACTCCTCTAGGCTTCCAGCCTCTGAGTGGACTTATGTATCTGGCTACTATTGCTCACATAGCATAGCTATCTGATGATGGCTGTGTTCTTAGCTTGGTTAGGGTGTTCAACCTTATCTGGTATCCCTCCCTCTTTTTACCAAGTTATGTGAGTGGCCAGAGGAGTCAGTGGCTTGGCCCCTTTCTGAGGAAAGGTTTGGTGTATATCTGTCACCTCCTTGGTGCTCTCTCACCAGGTGGACAGTTATGCACCTCGGCATGGCGTGAATGGATATCGTTCTCCAAAGTGTCCACCAGGACGCAGCGTTGAGTTCCCTAGAAGGGGAACGTCTCGGTTACTCATGTAACCATGGTTCCCCGAGAGGGAACGAGACGCTGCGTCCCCACTTTTTGTGGTCTGGGTAGTCTCAGTCAGTCCCCTCCTGTTCTGCTATTCCTAAAATCTATGTTTATGGTAAGCGTACACACTAGCTTCTGTGCGCTTTCTAAAATCCACATTGTGGTAAGTGTGCACGCTAGGCACCCTGCGCACTTTTCGAAAATCCTGTATGGTATGGGTTACACGCTCGACTTTGTTCCCATTCTCTGAGTTGGTTCTGGCCCCGGTTCTCCTTGCGCCCCACTACATTTATGTATCTCTAGCGATACTTCTGGACAGGGCTTCCTCTCGTTAAGAGAGTCATTCTTAGGTACATGGCTATCTGAGGATATCAATGTGCTAGCTTAGGTACTCCTCCCCCTTCTTGGGGTTTTAAGTAGCGGTCTCCCTGAGCCCTTACCTAGACAGTGCTATCTGCCCTGCTAGGGTCATAAGTAGATAGCCCACTCTCTGTGGTCTGGGCAGCTTCACATGTAGGTTTACTAGGGGTTTTAGTTTTTGGTCCTGTAGCCCCTTCCTAGGGATATAGCTATCTGTGTATAGCTATGTGGCTGCTCCCTTTCCTAGGGTTTTTAAGTAGCGGTCTCCCTGAGCCCTGGCTTAGCCAGTGCTATCTCCCCTGTGGGGTTTAAGTAGATAGTCATTCCCTTGGTCTGGGCAGCTCTTTAGGAAGGTCCTTTTCATAAGACCCTTTGGATATAGCTATCTGATAGCTGTGTACTTGGCTGGGATTGTTGGTGGCAATCTTGAGAACTCCTCTAGGCTTCCAGCCTCTGAGTGGACTTATGTATCTGGCTACTATTGCTCACATAGCATAGCTATCTGATGATGGCTGTGTTCTTAGCTTGGTTAGGGTGTTCAACCTTATCTGGTATCCCTCCCTCTTTTTACCAAGTTATGTGAGTGGCCAGAGGAGTCAGTGGCTTGGCCCCTTTCTGAGGAAAGGTTTGGTGTATATCTGTCACCTCCTTGGTGCTCTCTCACCAGGTGGACAGTTATGCACCTCGGCATGGCGTGAATGGATATCGTTCCCCAAAGTGTCCACCAGGACGCAGCGTTGAGTTCCCTAGAAGGGGAACGTCTCGGTTACTCATGTAACCATGGTTCCCCGAGAGGGAACGAGACGCTGCGTCCCTTTGCCATGCCTTCGACCTGCCAGTTTACGTCTCCTCAGACAACTTAGTTGGTCACGTATTCAGCAGGTGCCCCTTTTATACTTTCGGGTACCAGCCTATGATGTCACGGGCCACTTGGACCAATAGGATTGGAGTTGTTTTACCCATGCTTCAGGTACCGGTCACGCAGACAGCATTCCCCAAAGTGTCCACCAGGACACAGCGTCTCGTTCCCTCTCGAGGAACCATGGTTTCATGAGTAACCCGAGACGTTTCTGAAGGATCATGTGGCACTGAAGACTGCAGTAATGATGCTGAAAATTCAGCTTTGATCACAATAAATTAAATTTTAACATAGAAAACAGCTATTTTACATGACAAAATAGTAGTAATATTTCACAATATTAGTGCCTTATTGTATTTTTTAACAAATAAGTGCAGCCTTGGTGAGCAGATGATACTTCATTCAGAAACATAAAAAAAAAAATTCTTACCAACCTCAAACTTTTGAATTAGTGTGTTATATTTGAATTAAATAGAGTTCAAATATAATAATACAATTACTGAACTTACACAATCAATCCTGAATGATATTAAGAGCCACTGCTAAATGGTGCTTTGAACAGGATCATTTATTTAACTTCAGTTGTTATTATTATTAGTATGTATTGTCACGTTTAGGTGTGCCAGGGAACAGGCAGGACGATGAGGATGAAGGAAACCAGAACACTTTAATGAATACACGAGAGGGTAACATTCACAATAACTGACAAACTCGAACACAATGGACAGGAACTGATATAAGGTGGATAACGAGGGGCTGACAGGTGAGCACAATGAGGTGATTAACTAATAATGAGAACAGGAACAACCAAATAAGGACATAGAGGGAGAAACCATACAAGACAGTCCACAGGGGTGTGACATGTATAGTCAAGGTTTTGTCACAGCAGTCTACTAGAGAAAGGAGACCCAGACTCAAAATGACTAAGGGAGAGACATTTATTGACAAGACAAGGTACATAGGAATGGTGATGAGTGACAAGCAAGACTAGCAAGAACTCTCATACACACAAAAATCGCATGCAACAAACCAGCAGAGGCATGAGGAAAAGGAGCAAAATGTAAAGAGAGCAGAGCACACGAGGATCAAGTGAACACAATAAAAAAATGAGGACTAGTCAAAGGCTGAATCAGAAATTGCCCCCTATACCCTCATTCACTATTCCCTTCATTAGGCCACTAATAGAGTTCACTTGAAGGAGTGAATGAAAACGAGTGCGAGGACTGCCGCTTTTGCATAGTTTGTGCTTTCTGTTTAATAATCATTTGAAACTGGCAAACTGGCGGCTCCAGTAGTAAGATTAAAGGATTTATCTTGAACTCTGTCGTGGAAATTATGTATAAACCCTAGTTCAACAAATTATTAATCAATTTACAATGAGTTTATACCTGTGTTGTATTACGCTGTATTACGCCGTGGATAAGCGCTTTGTAAAATGAATGAATGGATGATTCAGCTGCAAGTGCCATCTTCTGGTGAGATACGGGAATTCATTCGGTGCCTGACTCTCTCAGTGCATTATGGGTATTCTCTAGCTGTTGAGCGTGCACTGGTTGTACACTCGTTATTGCTGTGCATTATGGGATTGTATGAGTGGACGCGATAATGTCCACTTAGGTTTCAGACACCATTAAAAATGGCTGTCCCTTCAAATCTTGCCCCATTTAAGGGTATAAGGGGCGATTTCAGACACATGACTAAACAAGGGGGCGTGGTAAATGGAAACAAGGAGTCGGGACAAGAGGAGCACATGGCCAACAAAAACAAAGACAAAGACATGTGCTCAGGCACAAGACAAACAAAGACACGTTAAACATAGACAGAACAGACATGACTGTCTGTATGTATGTATTTATTTGACAAAATCTGCTAGTTGAAGAATGGTACTTTAGTAATTTGCTTAAAAAATAACATTTGAATGAAAATTATTTGTATTTCTTAAAACATTAATTATGTAGTAACTATTTTATAAAAGCAATAAGGCTGTGCTGCTGGTTCTTCTAAGGACGTCATTTAGCTGTGATTTAGGGCCTGGAGGACCTTATTGCTCAAATACAGTGATGAGCAGTCAAAGATGTGCCCATGTCAGCTATTTTACAACAACTTCAAACTATCCAATTCATAATTTATTTTTTTTTTTTTTTT